TGCTGTCGACAGAGCGGTAATATTTCTACTCTGTCTGACCAACGTCCGGCACCAGCCAGCAGCACCACGCTTCCACAGATGGAGCACACGAGACGTTGCTCATTCGAAGAACCCTCAGTCGCGCTTGACGTCGACTCCTACAAATATGTTGCATATAGGATAAACATAAGCAATCAATCAGCATCCGAGTAAAGGCTAAACAGCTCACTTTCGCTTCCGTCGACAATGTCATAGTGGATGAAGGACTGGATGAGCTCATCTTTCAGTTTTATTTGCCTAAATAGTCAATAGTACTTCGCTTTATGGTTCAACTGCAAGACTACACCGATATAAAAAAGCAAGCGTGACCCCAGCAATGGAGAAAATGTAGTTTAATTTTAACAAAACTGGCAGATCCACATTAATTTCGCTTCTACTAACACAATTTATTACAAAAATAGTATACTCATTGGTATCAAATGAGAAACTTGTATATAGTCTGTTTACGAAAAAGAAAGAAATCAAGGTTACCTATAAAGTGATGATATTTTATCCCTTTGACGTTGCTCGTTGTTCTGTATGTCTGGAATTTGACGAATAGTTTCACGCAGTTGCTCCAATCCCGATTCCACCTGTCGCAAACGAACTGTCAACTCGGACCCGCTGCCCTTCTCAAAACTAAATAAAACCCCACAAGTGACTTCAGACACGAAATGGTACCTAGTACTTACGAGCAGATAAGATGCAGAAGGTCTGCGTAGATTTTATTCAAACTATTCTGACACTGCTCTTCTTTGCTCTCAACAGTGGTCATTCAGTGTAAAGGCGAAAAGCCTGAATAAACAGAAGTTTTTTGTTGTTGTTTTTTTTAACGTAAAAGCACACAAGTCATAAGCCTTCTCATAGAACTAGCAATAGTATTGGACTAGAAATCCTATAATAAATTAAACCATGATCCCCTCAAGCAAAAACTCATTTAACAATAAAAACAACTAAAACAATAATTTCAAATAACGAAGATAACGACCCTCCCTCCCCCCGTTCTGGATTGGAGCGCGAAAACTTGCAAAAATGCTTTCTTCCAATCGAAAGTGCGATAGATTCATGAATTCATTCACTTTTCTGCATACATTCGAAGCTAACATACAAAATTTATTAAGTCGTCTGATAATGCAAGACACACATCGATAACTCCATATGGTACAAATGTATGCATAGCCAAAAAAGGTTTTCGCCTACACACAGGTTACTCTTTATTATTCAACTCATAATAACAAGTACACACCAATAATCTTCTACCACTCATTACCTCTACGTTTTCTAGATCGATGGATACCGCATGTTTGTCACACTAACACAGCTTACCGCACATTTTGCAGATGTTCGGAACACAAAAAAATCTGGTCCTTACCACTGATGCACCGACTAATTAACGTATGGAACAACATTAGCAATTTTGCTTTGAAAAATGTTCTATAGATGCATTTGGGATGCCATTTGCCTACAAAACCAGTCTTGCAGCATATGACTAGAAGCCCAAAAATTGGCGGTAGAAAAGAATGCAACTTCCACAAAAACAAAGCTCAACTTCCGAGAAACTATTGAAATGTGGCTCTGCAGTTCTTTCGAAGTTGATTAGTACCAAAACACGTACAATTGTAAATTTCCAGTTCAATGGAACGATATATATACTTCTGTCGAAAACCTTCTAATAGTCAGTTGGGAAGAAGTACCACAAGCAATAAGATTGCAGTTTTGATATAGAGAATATTTATTCAAAAAA